GAAGGAAGGAAGGAAGGAAGGAAGGAAGGAAGGAAGGAAGAAAGAAAAACAACCTCAAGTTAAAAACAAGGTGGAGAATTGATTGCCATCCACTGTCAGTCACCTTTTGGCCTCCACATGCTTGTGCACAATGTGTATACCCCCAATACATAATCACCACACAGGGAAACATATAAAAATAGTTTCTTAGTATTTTTAAAACATGGTGTAGCTAGGTGTTGTTGCTCATAGCTTTAGTCCCAGTGTTAGTATTCAGGCATCTGTACTGGCCTGTCCTTGGGGTTCTGACAGGATACACCCTCAGCTGCAGCCACTAAGAGCACCACCTGCACATTCACTCTCTTCCCTTTTCAAAGGGCCCTGCCCACCACCCATCCTCCTCTCTTTCTTTCCCTCTGTCTGTTCCCCCTTCCTCTTTTCTCTCTCTCCCCCTTTTTCCTTTCTCCTCTCTCCTGCTATTCCTGTCTTAGGAGGCTGGTATCCCCCTTCCCTTTCCTCATTTTATGATCCCTTTCTCTAATTAAAAAAACAAAACAAAAACTCTTCTTGAACTCTGTCCCATAATGTCTTTCTCTCGAATGCTGCTTTTCTTAAATTACAACACTCAGAACTTGGGGGCAGAGTTGGGTAGATTTCTGAGTTTGAAGCCAGCTTGGTCTACAGAGTAACTTCCAGGACAGCCAGGGCTATGCAGAGAAACACTTTCTCAAAACAAAACAACACACACACACACACACACACACACACACACACACACACACCATGTGGTGTAATACTATATGTCTATCACATTCTAAGTAATATAGTCAACGGAATTTTATAAGCAAATTTGTTATATTTTATGCAGAAAAGAAAGCAGGAGGAGTTTATACTAATGCCAGGAAGCAACTACTAATATCTGCTGTTCCAGCTATCCTAATTCTTCATCTTAAAAGATTCCATCAGGTAAGAGCCCAGTTACTAACACTGTAGGCAGTTTCGTGATACATTTGCAGACCCCTAGGTCTTATGGGAAATTGCTAAGCATTTCCTTGAGTTAAAAATCTCACCACCATGTGAGTTGTCCTGTGTTGGGAGAAAAAAAAGCTTGTATAACAATAGTGACAGATCTAAGTGGTGGGAACCCAAGTGATGCCTCTGAGAGAAGTACGGTCACAGGTGTGCTTGAATAGAGACTAAGTGTTATTAAGAGGAATTACAAGGAGCAAAAGGCAAAGCCCACACACCTTTTGAGCTGAGATGGTGTTTGGGCTGAGCAGTGTTGATAGGGACCTAGCATGGGAAGGCTTTGAAGGAGGGCAATAAGACTGCTGGGGCTGGCAACCTAGATGCTTTTAGTGTTAAAGAAAAGATGGCTTGGGGCTGGAGAGATGACTCAGAGATTAAGAGCACTGGCTGCTCTTCCAGAGGTCCTGAGTTCAATTCCCAGCAACCACATGGTGGCTCACAACCATCTGTAATGAGATCTGGTGCCCTCTTCTGGCGTGCAGGCAGAATGTTGTATACATAATAAATAAAATCTTTTAAAAAAAAAAGATGGCTTAAAATGATAAGTTAATTACTTATCATTTTATCTTTTATCTTGTTCAGCAGGCTTTTGTTTTTCTTTGTGTTTGGTTTAAACCCAGGTTTTTCTCTATGCTAGGCAGGTGTTCTGACACTGATCTACATTTCTTGCCCTGTTTTCTGTTTTTAAAATTAAAGGCAGTGTTTTGGGAAGTTGCTCAAGCTAGTTGGGAATTTTCTGGGTAGCCTGGGAAGATGTTGAAACTGCAGTCTTCTTGCTCTGGCTCATAGGCAGCTGGATTATAGGTTGTGTCATCAGCCCTGACTTTTTTTTTTTTTTTTTTTTTTTTCTTAAATGACTTTCATTTTATTGAAGAAGAGTATAGACTACCAAGTATTGTAACTTCTTTTGTTGTTGTTGCTGTTTTGATTTTTTTGAGACCGCTATAGCCCAGCTGTCCTGGAACTTGCTCTATAGACCAGGCTGGCTCTAACTCACAGAAATCGACCTGTCTCTGCCTCCCAAGTGCTGGGATCAAAAGCATGTGCCACTGTCATCCAGCCATAACTTCTTTTTTTAAGTTAAGGCTTTTTGTTGTTTGTTTGTTTTGTATTTTAAAATAAAATTATTGAGGACTAGGGAAATCTTTCGGTTGGTAAAGTGGTCACTAAAGGAAGGAAAGGGGGAACGAAGAAGGGGAATGAGGGGAAAAGGAAAAAGTTATGATGTTTATTAGTGATTAAAGCTCATACCTTTAATCCTAGCACTTGGTTAGGGCAGGGGGGGAATCTTTGTCAGTTCAGGGACAGCAAGAGCTACATAGAGAGACCTTGTCTCAAACAACAACAACAAAAGAGATCATGATTCTCCTTATCCAAAGTTAAAGAAACAGGCATTTCATTCTAATGCCTGGTGTTAAATTTATCTCCACAGACTATGAATGAAGAAGGGTGTGTTGGATGCAGAATGTGTTATATTTGGTAATTGCATCTTCTTTAGGAACAACTTAAAAAAAAAACTTTTAAAAAACATGTGTGTACATCAAAGGAAGCATTTATGAATATTTCAGTCCCTTTTTGTTCTTAAGCTGAATGTAACCTCAGCAAAGCTACAGCCTCCTTCCGAGGGCTGGAAATGGCGGAGATGAGTTCCTAAGTAATACCTAACATTTTGTTCTGTAGTATCTCTAAAATCTTGTTTTTGTGTAGTAACTTTAAGGCTATGTATCAGAACCACTTACAACACTTAAAAGCAAACCTCAAACTCCATAGAGATCTTTGTCATAGACATACCAAATAATTGATTTTATAACTATGCAGGCAGCTCTTAAAGTCTGCTAAGAAAAATGTTGATCCCAATAGATAAGTGTGGAGCTCCAGAAAAGGGAATACGAACTCCAGTAAAGTACAAAATAGACCCATCCTTTCCAGCAAATTAAATAGAAAATGAGGGTTTTTTGTTTTTGGTTTTTTTTTTTTTTTTTTTGTTAACTGTGAGATCTTAATCTTTATCTTATTTGTAATCTTTAACAAAGATACAGAATTGTTTGAGGCTAAAGAAACCCCAGATGGGCACTCAAGCCATCAGTGGGAGTCTGCTAGTAGCACTGCCCAGACAGTCAGTCAGTAATGGCTATCAGGTAATGTTTGAAATGAAGCATTTTTTAGCAAAGGTACTTCCCTAATTAACCTCACTCCTAAGAAGCTGCTACACTGAAGTAGATGGAGACCCAGCATAGCCATTCCTTTTTCAGATCAAGCCAGGTGGAAGATTTAGCTAAGCACTTAGTGTCTAGGACATCCAATTTGTATTTTAATGACTAGGGAGAATCATTCTGTTAAAAGAAAAACAAATAATGTTATATATTTTCTAGGAGTCATCCCCTAGAAAGGCCTTTGCAGAAGGCTTTCTGTTGGGGAGAGTTTCTCAGCTGTCTCAGAGTGGCTAGGGAGTGTGAATAACCTCAGTGCTGATATTAGACGCTTATAGAGGTCACCTGATGAAAAAGGAGGCAAAGAGACTGACTGGAAGGACATGACCATAATGTGGGTGTGACTTTCAGCCTCCTGACCATCACAGGAAAGCTGAGCACACCCAGGGATGTCAGGCCTGGGCATCCTCAGGCATGGAGAGTTGGCGGGTGTGATTCAAGATTGTGTGTTGTGTTCAGCAAAGGCCAGGAGATGCCTAGTGGGGGCTAAGCAGCTTTCTTTTGTACTGTAAGCCTTCTTAGAATCATTAAAATGCTAATGTAAATTAGACTTTCTAGGAGAGATAAGTGGTGGGCATTTTCCAAACTTGTTTTATTCATTTCACATGTAATTATTATGTTCATATATATGCAAAACACTGTCTGATGTGTTCTGGAAGGTGCATAATAAGGCAAACAAGGTCTGCTCTTCTGCAAGTTCCTGTCTACTGAGCAGGGAGGGAGGGAGGGAGGGAGAGAAAGGGAGAGAGACCTCAAAAACAAAAAATCAAAATGATGACACCTGGGGAAATGACATCTAAGGAATGATATCAGAAGTTGTCCTCTGGCCTCCACATGTATCCCCAATACATGTACACATGCCTGTACACATGAACAAGAGCACACACATACACACATACAGATGACCTGGGTTAACATTAGTTACTTAGCTGGTATTGACTAAAAAATTTTTTTTCTTTAAAGAGAACTCAGAGAATAAAATGTGACAGATACATAGTGAAATTGTTTGCTTTCTATACAGTGAGGACACCAGGGATGTCAGGGGACCCCTGCATGAAAGGTGGCCCCTATTAACTTTTGTTTGTGCACACATTCAGCTTTAAGTATCTTCTCATTCCTTCGGACTCCACTTGCTGGCTTGTCTGACCTAGTGAACTCAGGGAGGCTGGAGCAGTTGGCTGATGGTTGTGGGCAGTTGGCTAGGTTGTGTGCTGATGGTGTAAATCAACAAACAATTGAGGGCAGGGTTTAAATGAATCCACCAGACCCAAGATAAGTGATAACTAGGTATTTTATTAAGGAAGCACTTAAAGAGTAAATAACCACCTCAATCTTCCTGCTCCAGAAGATTCAGTCTCTGCCCTTTGGATGCTCTCACTTTGTGACCCAAGACTGCATGAGACAACCCCTCCTCTACCTTATAAGGGGTCACAACTGAATCTGAAACCACTCCCAAAGGGTGTGGCCACCACCACAAGTTCACTGGCAAGGCAAAAAGCCACTACAACTCTGCCACCACTGCCCAGCAGTATGACTGTTATTAATCATGTTTTTTTTTTTTTAAATATCTATGAGAATAGTAACTTTTAGAATTCTTTTGGTTTTAATTAACATAGTACTTAAAACTTAAGTTTGTTTTACTAAAAAAAATTATTTTGTCTTTTTAAGGCTGGCTTGAGTCTTCGTAAAGTGAACAGACATGTAGACTTTCCACTTATCCTTGACTTAGCACCATTCTGTGCCGCTGCTTGTAAGGTATGATATATGAAGACATGTAATTAACTTGCAAGTAAGATGCTTAAATGCCTACTGCTTGTTGTTTATTAGAACGTGCTTTTGTTTTGTTTAAATAAGCTTCTCTTCTTCAATAAGTAATTGTGACATATTAATACATCAAATATGACTTTAGTTCTTTGGAATAAAGATGAATAAGGCATTGGGCATGGATCACAAACATCAAAGCTACCTGTTTCTTTTTTTTTGTTTGTTTCGTTTGGTTTTTCGAAGTAGGGTTTCTCTGCATTGCTTTGGAGACTGTCCTGGAACTCGCTCTTGGGAACAGGGTGGCCTCGAACCCACAGAGATCTGCCTGCCTCTGCCTCCCGAGTGCTGGGATTAAAGGTGTGCACCACCAACACCCGGGGCTATCTGTTTCTTATTAGCAGATGATATGATGTCTCTGTGCCCTCCTGTTCCTCTGAGTGAGCCAAATAGGGAGCTTTGTTTTAGCGTCTGTGAGGTTCTGTGTCTTTTGCAAATAAACACAGTAATGTGTTTTGTTTTGTTTTGTTTTTTTCCGAGACAGTGTTTCTCTGTGTAGCTTCGGAGCCTATCCTGGAATTCACTCTATAGACCAGGCTGGCCTCAAACTCACAGATGTCCATCTGAGATCTTACCCAGACAGGTCTTGAACTCATGAGCCCTCTACCTCAGCCTTCCATGTGCTGGGGTTACAGGCTTATACTGTCCTAAACACCATTCTTCTGTAGATTGCTTTTTTTTTTTTTTTTTTTTTTTTGTGGCAATTGGACCCAAGACATCCCACATGCACTGAGCTATATGTTCCTAGCCCTCTCTCCCACTTTAACACAACCACAGTGTCATTTAATATCTTTCATACATCAGTCTTTATATTATATTCCTGTTGTCTTGTGTGATTTATGTATACTAATTCATTTTAAAAATAAATACAATAGTTAAAATAAAATGGTTTACAAGTAAATCAGTGATGCCTTTAATACTATTTTTATGTTAAGGTTTCTCTTTTTTAATTATTTATTAAGCTATAAATTTTCCCCACTCCTCCCCTTCCACCCTACCTCCTGCCCCCCATGTTCCCAATTTACTGAGGAGATTTTGTCTTTTTCCCTTTCCTAGGCAGATCCGTGTATGTCTCTCTTAGTGTCCTCTTTGTTACTTAGGTTATCTGGGGTTGTGGCCTGTAGGCTAGTTTTCCCTTGCTTTATATCTAATATTCACTTATGAGTGAGTACATCACCCAGAATAACTTTCTAGTTCCATCCATTTGCCTGCAAATTTCAAGATGTCATTATTTTTTTAACTCTGAGTAGTACTCCATTGTGTAAATGTACCACATTTGTCTTATCCATTCTTTGATTGAGGGGCATCTAGGTTGTTCTGGCTGTTACGAATAATGCTTCTATGAACATAGTTGAACAGATGTCCTTGTGGTGTGAGTGTGCATCCTTTGGGTATATGCCCAAAAGTGGCATTGCTGGGTCTTGAGGTAGGTTAATTCCCAATTTTCTGAGGAACTGCCATATTGATTTTCAAAGCAGCTGTACAAGTTTGCATTCCCATCAGCTAGGTAGGAGTGTTGCCCTTATTCCACATCCTCTCCAACATAAACTGTCATCAGAGTTTTTCATCTTAGCCATTCTGACAGGTGCAAGATAGGGATCTCAGAATTATTTTGATTTGCATTTCCCTAATGATTAAGGATGTTGAGCATTTTCTTAAGTGTCTTTCAGCCATTTGAAATTCCTCTGTTGAGAGTTCTCTGTTTACATCTGAACCCCATTTTTTAATTGGATTATTTGGTAGTTGGATGTCTAGTTTCTTGAGTTTTTTTGTATATTTTGGAGATCAGTCTTCTGTCAGATGTGGGGTTGGTGATGATTTGTACCTACAGCCCATTCTGTAGGCTGTGGTTTTGTCTTGTTAACTGTGTCCTTTGCTTTACAGAAGCTTCTCAGTTTCAGGAGGTCCCATTTATTGATTGTTGCTCTCAGTATCTGTGCTATTGATGTTATCTTTAGGAAATGGTTTCCTATGCCAGTGTGTTCTAAGCAACTTCCCACTTTCTCTTCTATGAGATTCAGTGTGGATGGATTTATATTGAGGTCTTTGATCCATTTGCACTTAAGTTTTGTGCATGGTGATAGATATGGATCTATCTGCAATCTTCTACATGTCAGCATCCACTTATGCCAGCACCATTTGTTAAAGATGCTTTCTTTTTTTCTGTTTTTTAATTTTAGCTTCTTTGTCAAAAATCAGGTGTTCATAGATGTGTGAATTGATAGCAAGGTCTTCAATTTGATTCCAATGGTCCATCTGTTTGTCTTTATGCCAACACCAAGCTGTTTTCATTACTGTAAGTCTTTCTTTGAAGTCAGGGATGGTGATTCCTCCAGAAGTTCCTTTATTGCACAGGATTTTTTGGCTATCCTGGGTTGTTTTTTTTTTTTTTCAAGGTCTGTGAAGAACTGTGTTGGGATTTTGTTGGGGATTGCATTGAATCTGTAGATTGCTTTTGGCAAGATTGCCATTTTTACTATATTGATCCTACCTATCCAAGAGCATGGGAAATCTTTCCATTTTCTGATGTCTTTTTTAATTTCTTTCTTTAAAGATTTAAAATTCTTGTTGTGCAGGTCTTTCACTTGTTTGGTTAGTGTTACCCAAGATATTTTATGTTATTTGTGGCTATTGTAAAGGGTGATGTTTCTCTGATTTCTTTCTCATTCCATTTATCATCTATATGTAGGAGGGCTACTGATTTTTTTTTTTTTTTTTTTTAGTTAATCTTGTATCCTGATACATTGCTGAAGGTGTTTATCACCTGTAGGAGTTCCCTGGTAGAATGTTTGGGGTCACTTATGTATACCGTTATATCATCAGCAAATAGCGAGAGTTTGACTTCTCCATTTCCAATTTGTATCTCCTTGATCTCTTGTTCTCTTATTGCTCTAGCTAGTACTTCAAGTACTATATTGAATAGATATGGAGAGAGTGAACCGCCTTATGTTGTTCCTGATTTCAGTGGAATTGCTTTGAGTTTCCATTTAGTTTGATATTGGCTGTTGGCTTGCTGTATATTGCCTTTATTATGTTTAGGTATGTTCCTTGTGTCCCTGCTCTCTACAAGTCCTTTATCATGAAGGGGTGTTGGATTTTGTTGAAGGTTCTTTCAGCATCTAATGATGTAGCACGATAAATAAAAGCCTCAGAGACATATATTGGGGTTCAAGCTTTAAGGTAAAGATTAGAGAAGCAATCCAGTCAAGCTAGTAGATCTACCAAGGTGAAATGGCAATCCTGTCTCCTCAAATCCTCAGAGGCAAAAGGCTCTGAATTCCAGTTTCCTCCTCCTTATATTCCTTTCTCTGACCTGTCTCCACTTCTCTAGTGCCAGGATTAAAGGTGTGTGATCACAGGTGCTGAGATCACCTTTGTGTGATCTGTTCCTTTTAGGACTAGATCAATTTCATGTAGTCATTGTGGTCTTGAACTAAGAGAGATCAATCTATCTTTTAATCCTGAGTCCTGGGATTAAAGGTGTGTTCCACTACCTCCTAGCTTCTAGCTACTGGGATTAAAGGTGCTTAAGGCTGGCTTTGCTTTCTGAATCCTCAAGCAAGCTTTAATAAATCATAATAATATATAAATAATGTATAGCTAACATATATATAACTAAAATATAAATAATATATAACAAGGCTACAACTAACATAAGAAAAACTATACAATAAGTATACACAATAAATATACAGGTAATAATTACATCAACAATGTCTAGTCCATTTGCATTTAACAAATTCAGAGAATCATTCTGTCTCTCTCTCTCTCTCTTCTCCAGTTTCTGGGCCACCTGCTTGTTCACTGATGCAGTCTCTCTCTCTCTCTCTCTCTCTCTCTCTCTCTCTCTCTCTCTCTCTCTCTCTCTCTCTCCTTCCCGGGCTGCCTCTCCCCCCCTCGCTCT